ACCTACCACTGGCGATTATTTTACGTCAGCACTGTATCATGGCAAAATTAATCACAGAAAAATTAATCTAATACGATGTAGCGAAATTCCTTTCTTAGAAACTTTAATATTAGGTACGAAACTCCCGGAAAGCTATGCAGGTGTCACAACGAACTCATATTCGGTACGTTGAAAAATTTAGGAGAGGACAAATCTGACTTCTCCTGTAAGGAAGTTTTTAGTACCTTGAAGAATGTGATGAGCTGCTATTGCTCTTCCATAAATAAGCAAGATATTTTCGATTAGATTCATGTCTAGAGATCCGATTGAATACATAATTCTTTGACCTTAAGATTCAAAGTTTTCTTCTTCCGGTTCAAGCCTGTGTGGTTGTAAGCTTTCATCTTTAGTGTGAACGCCATATTTGAACACATCGACTCTGACATCGGGATATAAGATCTCCGGGGATCTTCCTGGGCTGCTTAACCTCATACCAGCCCACACCATAATACATCGACCTCTATAGTGGCCCACTTCCATGATGCTTATGATACTGTGAATCTAGTTCTCTTCATATGGGAACTTTTAGGCATTCCATCGATGAAGAGAGCTCATAGACCTACTGTATTTGCGTCAAAGGTTGATATCACTTGCACCAGTTCTTGGGATTTACATTATCAGGAATGTACCCTGAATTCTCTGAGTTTGTAGAATTGATATCTTAGTGCCCTATATTTAGCAATAATGTCGCAATACAGCAGTTTATTTTAATGAATGACACTACGCGTCACTACAAAATCGAATTGAAGCCTAAGATAATTAAAAAATATTTATAGTCAGTCAGTTCTTCAGATTTGAATCCCATGAAGCATATCTTGGATGACTTTTGAAGAGCAAATGGAGCTTGTTTTTCCGTTAATTTTTGTAGTTAAAAATTACCTTAATGGAGGGATGGGATTTTTTGTCCCAAGATCAAAACTCTCAAAACACTTCATAAAGAGTATGAGTTAATTGTGAGACCTACCAAGTCCCACAATTAACTAGTCAAGGGATTTTTACCCCACATTACATTCTCAACAAGCACAGTACTTTAATTTTGTATTACTTTGCTCTGATCTCTATCAACTCATGATTCATGCCGTTGGCTTTTGTTACTGTTTTTGACACACTGTCAAGTATTAGAATGCCCTCATACTAAATCTCTCATATGAAAATGCTCCTTGTAAAGTTAAAAAAAATTAGCGACCTTCCCTTTTATATAAATTAAAATTCTATTATCCATTTTGAAAATAAATGAAAACAGGAAAATTACATTTCAAAGGCAATTTTAAAGAACGACGTGTGTAGAAAATAACTAGAGCTAAAAATATTAGTTCCGTGTAAACAGATATGAAGTTAATTTTTAAAGTGTTATAAAGAAAACTTAAAAATTTAGCACATTTTCCTCCTTACAACCTTATTTTTTTGATAATTTTGAACAGTTACCGTTGCTTGGTACATTTTTCAATGTACCGAGCCATTTTAAAGATTCGACTTGCAGAAAACACGTAGTTCCCATAAAAATAGAATTCCTAAAAATAATTTTTAAAGAGTCTTTATTACGTTGTAAATTTTGCCACATGAAGCAATGTGTCACATTCCACTGCAGTTTTTTTTAAAGTTCAAACTCCAATGCAAGCATTTAGTGTTTGGTATCTTTCAAAATATAATTACTTATAGGAAATATTTAGGTCGAAAACATGATATCAATAGTTTGATATCAATAAACGCTCCTAAATCAGTCCTTTCCCAGTATTCATGTTTTAGTGCATTTACATATTGATACACGAAGAAAAATTCTGGTAAAATTACATTCCTCTATGGTAAAAGCATTTTTAGTAAAAAAAAAGGAAAAAAAAAGGTAGCAAAAAAATTAATGAACGGTATTTAAATCATTCATTTCTTAATTTTTCCATTTTTATGTTAACAGTTTACCGAAAATGCAGTTCACAAATTTATAGCACTTATTACCACTCATTTAGAAAAAATATGAAACTGAAAAGTTAATTTAACTAAGTAAACGGTTTTTATGCAATACTCTGAGGTATAATGATAAAACTATCAAATTTTATCACATATTTTGGAACCATATTTTATTCTCAATTTTACCAAAATAATTGCCAAATCGCTTTGGTAAACGTTTCCAAACTTTTTCGTTTTCCCATAGAGCAAGAAACACAGTACATTTTACCAACTATACTATACTTTCGACTATACTTTTTATCACAGTGTATATTGGAATTTTTTGATATTTATATTCATGTATACAATTACATTTTTACAATTCATACAAGTCATTTTATACACATAAATTTCGTTTCAAATTTGTTACTCAGACCCATACATTGTAAATTTATTTTATTCTAGGGCAATATAAAACAGAATTATTGTTTTTTACTTTTATATTTCACAGGCGAAAATCTTCAGGAAGGTCAAACAAGTAGCTTTTAGTTTTTAGCTCTGAAAGCAGATTAAGATTGAAAAGGCACGCTAGGTGCCGTGTGAAATTTTACATTATTCTGATTGTAGTGCAAATCAGGTCATTATCAGGCATTCCATCTGAGTATTAAAAAAATAGCACCTTCAACTTTTGCATAAAACAGTTCAAAAAGTAATGGAAAACATGCCCCTGGACATTGATTTTTATGAATTTAGAATAATAATGTGAAATAAAACTTTTAATTTGGAATGAGGTCAAATTTGAAGTAATTAGAATTGTTTGTAAAAATTTTCTCCAGAAAAATAAACATATAACAAATATTTAAATGAATTTGATCAATTTTTTTTATCTTGATTACATTTGCTTGCAGTTCAAGATTTTTTTAACTAGTATTAAGGAAAAAAAAATTGAAACTCTAAAATTAGCTTGTCTCTTAATATAATGTACAGCAAAACACTGACTTTACTTTTTCTGTGAAATTACATAAAAATTATGCAGGTTCAGCTCAGTTCAATATTTCAGGATTTGCGCAACTTGCAATTTTTTTGCAACGAAATTTTCTTTATTTATTAAAAAAAACCACCGTTTGAAATTAAAACTTAGAAGCAGTTAAGAGAATGTTTCAACTCGCATTTTTAAATAACAAGTAATAACATTGCATGCGAATCAAGTATTGCATTCTAATCAAGTATTGAATTAGAATCGAATATTGCATTCGAATTTAATAAGGTCGACAAAAAAATTTTTTTCAATAGAAATTGTTTTTAAGCTATTGATTACTACGATAAAAATTTGAAACGTAATTTTACTAAGTATATTCATTTGAGAACTGCATTGCAAAATTTTCTTATACATAAATATAGGGGAATAACCAACAAATTCGAGATACATATCAGAAAAACAGTATTAAGTCATTGCTTATTCTTGAATTAGCTGATAAAATCCACAAGTTCTCATACAAATTTTAATTCGAGGACATTTACTGGATAACTTAGAACTCCTTTTTATTGCATTTGTGAGATACCATTTTTTCAGAGTTATCGAAAACATCAATATTTAATTTATAAAGTAAACATCACTATGGATAATATAACAACAAAAAAGAAGAATATTGAAATTTTATCTCAGTGTATTTATTGCTATATTCAGTTTTGAATTAGCATTTAGATAAATACTTGATTTCAAGAGTTTGAGAAAAATCGTAGAAACTTGTGCAGGAACAGGTCAAGTTTTATTTTAGTAGTTACATGATTGCCTAGTAGATGGCACTGCTGAAATATCAACGATCTTATCCGCAAATGTTATTTTATGTATTTTTCAAAAGATAATAAAATTAATCATAATGCGTAATTTCGTAAATATATGAGATTACAACACACAATTTTTATTTTCAAACATTGATGATAACTGCAAATTAATCAAACAAGCGATTGCTGATAAAATATTTGATTTCATATGAATTGCAGATAATCTGACTATTTGAGAAATATTTCTTTTCTTCGGGATGTGTTTGAAATAATATTAAATGAAAAAAGATGCAATTTATTTTAGATTGTACACATTTTATAAGTAATTGAAATAGTATTTTCAAGCAAAAATACACAAATAATTTCATTAGATTAAGGTATTTTCAGTTCGCGTTTTCTTGATCTTTATAACGCTAACTTGAATTTCAAATAACAAATACTTCTTGGAGGAACTAACTCTAACTTACTGTAACTTTAGAGGAGGAAGACAATATTACATACAATTACAAATATCTTTAACAGTGCTTCATCTGTTATATGTTATATACTCATATATTACGTAGAATGGAAAATGTCATTCTTTACATCAAATAGAAACAGGTATTTCTTGTTTTTTAAACTTTTAACCGATAATGTAATCAGAATTGATATTAAGAGCATTTTGCCCCCTTAGTGTGTCAATCTTTAATGCCAGTTTGATAAAAAGCGATTGGTTTTTTAACACAATACCTAGTGGTGGCATTTTGAACAACAAATAAATGCATTTGCTAAAGGGAATAAACATATATCCTGTGGTGCAATAACAGATAAGTATGATGAGTAAAGCGGTACCTCCCTCCCTAAATCATTAATTTTTCCCATTTTTTGTCTACATCATCTATGCAAGTCCACGATCAAAATTACTGGATTTAAATTTAAAAATTCTCCTATTTACGAACATCCTATGCACTTAGATAAATATATATAAGCTCAAAAAGAAAATATTTACAAATATGTACCTTTTCTAATATTTAGCTGGGCGTTTCAACTCTATTTGCAAATTAAAAAAAAGGTTTAAATATTTATTAGTAAACAAGTCACTTTAGCACTATAATGCTTTTGGCACGACGTTGAAGTACACAACGAGCTGAAAAATGCGCCAAAACTTTATTTTCGGGTCCCTATAATTTATTTAGTTAATTTAGATATATTACATATACTATATTTATTTAGTTAAGTTAATCATAACACAAATGTAAAACTTATAATTATTTGTTTTAATTAGTTTTTAAATGCAACATAATTTTTCAACATACCTTAGGCCTATTTTCATCTTCTTTGATTTTCAAGTAGAGTGGAGCCACTCCGGCCAGATAAGGAGCTTTTCGGAAGGGAAACATGGATTTAGGAGCAAACATATTTACTGTAAAATAAATAAATAAAATATCAGCTATATGTGAAATAAATATAAATATTGAAATTATGTAGTATTGACTTTAAAAATAATTACGTTACTTTTGTCAAATTATTATATTTTTTTTGAATTCCTATGTTTTTTCCAATGTCTATAATTTTTATAAATTTTAAGGTAAGAATACCAGTAGATATAAATTAAATTTTCAAAAAAACTTTATATTACAAATAACGTTTATATTTCAAAAATGTGCACCCGTAAAACATAAAATAAAGAATTTTAATATGCGGCAGAAAATAGAAAATCACATTTTTATCATTTATGTTTGAAGATTTAACTAAAAAAGAATCAAGATTAGCTGATGATTTATGGCTGATTGAATGACTTAGTTAACGCGAATAGTTACGCTCTGCAAATGAAACCAAATTTTAGACAACCTAGCAACTGTAAAGTAATTATTTCCGAAACAAGGTTTCCAACAATTATATGATGAAATTTGGTAATTTTCTTTTCATTGTAGTAATTCTTCTTTTAGTTTATAAATATACTGCATAGTAATTTTCTGTAATTTGCAGCTTTATTTGGCATTAACTTTTCTGAAATGTAGTTTTGAAACCCAAAATCTGTGATACTTGCGACTGCGAATATTTGGATATAAACGTAAAAGAACAAAAAAAAAAAAAACGCTCATTTTAATATTTATCCAGAAAAAAAATTAAATTACTTTTAAAAGATTGGAGTAATTAAAACCCTCATTTATTAGAATGAGATTATAAATTATTAACCCTATTTTTTTGTTTTACACTATTTCAATTTATTTGTTGTTGTTTCTAATGCCTCTTGACAACATCAGCATGCCTGCTTGGTTAAACCAAGCGAATTTAAAGCAGATGATGCGGTTCTTGTTTTTCAGTGGCTCCATTTATGGCCAAGAATAAGACTTTAACCACTCACACACGTCACATCCCATTTCGTATGGCGGATCCATTCATACATCCATTCATTCACCCACAGATCATAATTATGGCCTGAACCAGAGAACGCTCAATATCCAATTCAATGTCTCCAGAGGTGCAATTTGTTATGGGAACTTGAAGGAGTGCACCAGTCACCATTACTACACTGGAGGAGGTTGAACTCATAATCTCTTGGACATGGACCTAACACCCTGCCAATCGCAATATGAGGAATATTCGTTGGAAAAATTTGAAAGTATTGTTTAAATTTAATATTTAGTTATTAGTATCGCCGTTAGTATATAAATTGCGTAGTCTTAACCATTTTAACCGTAGTCTTAACCATGTCCCTGGTCAACAGCTAGCTCTTGTGGGTGGGTACGCTTTACTACATTATTGTTTTGCAAACAAGATTCCCAAATCTATCAATAAATACATACTTCTCAAAAACTTTTGAGAAGTGGATTTTGTTTGATTGCCGAAATGTAATCGGAAATTTATTGTTAATAGTAAATTTGCACTCTCAATATTGTTAAAAAATTTTAGAGAACTATTATAATTGGAATTTAGAAAATATCATTTTTCAAGAAATTAATTTGTGCAAAATTATAAAATCAATAATTAATTTTAGCACAAAATATACAAAAACATTTATTTTTAGAGCTGGCGTGGAATTTAATTTCCTCGCCTTAAACTCTGATTAATGTTTATTTTTTAAAATACATATAAACAAGTTATTCATAAAAATCACTCATTATTCATTTTTATTGAATATTTTTCATTCTAGCTATTGTATTTACTTAGCATACATAAAAACTTGTTTAGTCATAGAAATTTTGTTATTGATAAAAATGAAATTTCCTTTCAACATTTTGCTTAGTTTTCAAAAACCCAAGCAAATTCAATTTCAATTCCCAAGCAAATGGTCTATTTTATTTATATAAGTTTTTACGCAAATTGAAACAAATACAATTTAGTACGTATTCAGTAATTAATTTTAAACTACGTTTAGATGATTTTCTTTTTATGATGAAACTTTAAAATATTCATCTACCAGTTTTAAAATACCGCTTTAAAATAATTTAGTAAAACATTTTTCTATATATAATTAAAAACACTATTTTCAGGTAAACAAACCATAAAAACAATATTTTCAGAATCATTTGATCTATACGTTTATTTTCCTCAATGTTAATATTACAATTTATTATCATGAAATGTATTGTGAATGTTTGGAATATGTATTTTTTTAAGCTATGTAGAATTTAGAATCAACATTAAATTTGCTTACTGCCGAACTTCTTCACTTATTGTCGAACTTTCTACATTTTAACCCACAAAATGGTCATTGCATATCATCTCACAGTGTGAAAAAAATTCTGATAAAATAACTGAACTGTATGGTAATGGCATAGCTAGTGAAAAAATAATTCTGGTTTTAGAAACCAAAATATGTGGCATTTAAACCATTAGTTTGGTAATTTTTCCATTCATATGGTAACGGTTTATCGGAAAATCTTGTTTCCAATACTTTAGTTCCTTTTTCCATACATTTAGTAAAAAATACAAAGCGGAAAAGTAAACTAATCCAAATAAATGGATTTTATACCATACTTCAAGGTATAATAAAAATATTACCAGAATTTACCACATCTACCAAATTTTATCACGTATTATAAAACCATATTTTATTGCTAATTTTACAAAAATCATTGCCGAAGCGCTTTGGTAAAAATTACAGATCTTTTTGATGTGGCCATAGAGCCAGAGACACGGTAAATTTTCCCACATTTTGGCAATTTTAACCATAATTTTTCAGTGCATTTTTAAAGTTAAAGGAGAAATAAAAATTTTTCTGCTTATAAGTAAAAAAGGATTGTACTTAAATATCATATTTTTTCAAATTTAAACATTTAGATTTGAATGTTTTTATAATTATATTATGTTCAAAATAAATACGCGTTAAATAATATTACTAATAAAATTTTATCGCTAAATAAGTCATGTTAGATCCTTTTTCGCATAATAAGCGTTAATAATAAATAAGCGTTAAATAATTTTACTAATAGAATTTTATCTTTACGTAGCAGTTATTTCAGATCTTCTTCAGTATGATTCTTTTTCATTTTTTTTATCCCACTATTTGATAATTTTAACCTATCCAATTTTTTAAGTTAAACAAAAAATAAAGGATTTTCTACATTTAGGATTAAAAAAAAGTATTTCTCATTACTCCTTTATATAAAATTAAAGCTTATACGTAAGAATATTATTCTAAAATAAAAAATAACAAAGTCTTAAAGAATATTGCTAGAATTACGAATTCCAAGAGCGAAATATTATACTTCGAACATAGTTTCAGTTAATCCACAATATACAATTATTACAAATACACGATAAACGGTAATGATAAGGAATAATCCTAGCTTTATTAATTGCATGTCTCTAACAACAGTAATGGTTGGATTTAGATGGAAAAAAAGAAAGAAAAATATTAACGCTGGAGTAACAATGACTAGAAATCTGATCAGTTTATATTTCTGTGAGCAAAGTCCACTTGGTCAAATCTCAGAACCAGTTTGACTATATTTTTTCTTTATTACTTCTTTTTCTTTCTATATATAATATAAGTTATTTATAGGCACTTGTTTCTCGCAAGGAAATGTTTTGTAATTCTCTTCCAGTTCTTGTTTTTCTATCTTTTTTTGGTGTTTTTTTCCACAAAAATACTCTTTTTCAGCGAGTTGTAGGAGAGAAACAACAAAAAGAAGAAAAGAAAAACAATAAATAAAAAAACAAAGGGAAAAACATTCGAGTACAGTTCTAGGTGATTGGTATGAGGTTCAATGATTACTATTCCAAGCTTTACCATGACTTTTATGTTTTTTTATACAGCTATTGATTTACGATGGATTGTGGTTCTTGCTGCAGAAAAATATTTTGACCACATGACCGAAGCGTTGAAAACTGGAAAAACTATCATTTTTTGTTGTTGCATTTGTTTTATCTCATTGTGAAATTTTTAAGAAAAAATTTGTGGAACAGTCACGTGTAAGGGCAGTTAGGTTTCTTATTTCTGTTACCCTTTTAAATTCGTCCACAATGTTCATATAGAGTAATATTTTTTCCTAGTTACATTCATTTTAAGCAAACGTTCAAACAGAGTTAAAATCTTATGATCATAAAGAGTCTTAATATTTATTAATAAAACCATATTAAATTAGCAATTTTCAATCTTCACTTTAACTATCTTTTTCTGCTAATGCTTATGGTACATAGTATTAAAAAAATTTCGATATTTTTCCATGCATATCGATAATTGTTTCAGCTTATTGATATTGATATTATAACCGTCGTTGAACAGCCGACCCAATTTTCGGGTTTAAGACTACTAGTGTTCATCTACGTAGCCTTGTAATTTTGAGTCCAATTCAGAAGACAAGGGAACTCTTGGATGAAGTATTGGGAGAAATTTGCCTTCGTGGAGGACTTTTTGATTGAACTAACCAGCATTTGCGTTACATGGAAAGGAAGACCACGAGAACCTCCCATTGTTAGAATGAGAGCAAAGGGACTCTATCCCATGATCCGTTTACCATTGAAGATAAAAAATTTTCGTCAGTACTGTGGTCGGTGCAAGCCGGTTGCGGAATTCGCATCAACTGACCATCGTTGGGATTCGAACGTGGTCCACCTCATTGGAAGGCGAAAGCTCTATCCCCTGAGCCATCACGGCTCTATTGATATAGAAAATAATATTTGTATCTTTTCACTATTGATTTCATTTTCTCTTTATTGATTTGAGCTTTCATCAAAAAGAGCTTTCATTAATTTAAGCTTTCATTAATTCATTAAATATTTAAAGGAAAGCATAATCTAAAGAAGATAAATTTCGCAGATTATGATTAATATATAGCCAGAGTTTAAGTTTTTAATTATAATAAGACATTATATGTCAACTCCACTCAAGCAACTACAGGAATACAAAATACAAACATACATTTATGAAAGCTAAAACATTCACCTAAATATAAACATAGTTTTAAATTTATC